GGTCCAGATTCAGTTTTTGGTAGGGGGACTAAGTTTTTGACCATATCTAGGAGTCCAAATTTGAACGTTTTTTTTTTTGGGGGTAGTTGATTATTGAGATGAAGAGAGTGTGTGTGCAAAATTTGGGGTCATATAAATACTACAAACATGGTTTTCTAGAAGTGTCTTTGCATTGGATCATTGCTCAATATATATATATATAGGGAAAATATCTCCATACCCCCAGTTTTTAAGTTTCATTTCTCACTAGACCCAAAGTTTTAGAACATATCTTGATGCATGGAGATACCATGGATTATTTCTTATAACCCCCTAGACCCACTTTACACACTTTGACTCTCTTTTTCTACCCTGGACAAATTTTAAAAGATGTCTTTTTATTACCCACCTCTCTCTCTGTTTCTCACTATCCATGTGTGTCCCAAACCCCTCTCTCCATTTTTCTTGCCTAAGTAACCTCTCTCTCTCCATGTGTATGCAAACATCCACCGACTCTCTTTCTCCCTCTACTTTCTCTCTCATCACGCGGCCGAGGCAGCCTCAAAAGATCGGAATTTAAGTTAACTAAGCTCTTAGTCTGCGGTAGCTTCCTCTTCGTTATTCGATCAAAATCCTGAATTTGACCTCTCCTGAGCTCCACTTCAAATAAAAGAACATTACAATCTTTGTTCATGGGCTTCAAAGAACCAGGATAAAAGTAGTCCTGATCTATCTCTCTACCATGAAGATAGAAAACCAGTGAACCATCTGATTCACTAATGATCTCAAACACAGGGGCCCAAAGTAGAGGGCTATTGAAGCCTTGAGGACCGAGTTCTTGAGAAATTACACGACAAGCGACTAGAGAGAGAGAGAGCCCCACAAGACATACACCACATTCCCAAGCTCTGGGTTCTGATGAACCCACATTCCAATCAGAGGCCTAACACTAGGAGAAAACGACAAAGGGCTTTATAAGAAGCCATGGATTTTCTCCATAGGATCAAATCCTCAGCTTTAAGAGCACCCAATCTCTCGCACTGAGAGAACCAGACCTTATCAGAAATGGCAAAACCAGTGACGGTTTTGCAACACAAGCTAAGGTTACAGACATCTCTGGGGCATAGAAATTTTGATATTACAGCGAGCACATCGTCTGGTAACGTTTGGAGGAAGCTCGAGCTTCAATATTCGGAATCAAGCTCTTCATGGGTTCCAATTTCTAGAGGACCACCATAGCTACGAGAAGGAACTGGCTTCTCTCATAAAGGGCAAGTCATGGCCGCCATGTTCTACAGTCGAACCAGCAAGAAGAGCCTCAAAGAAAACCCATCAAAGAATTGTGCATTCGGGTTTCAAATTCTAAACAATTATTCACATTTCATCAAATTTATAGAGGAACCCATCAAAATAAAGTTTCAAATTTCAATCTCTCTCTCTCTGAAACAGTGAACCCTGTAAACCTACACGAAAGAACACTATCTTCTTCTCTAATCTCGATTCAAAAAGAAATACCAATTCATGCAAGACCTGAAGAAAGCCACAAACTATGCCTTCCACTATAAATCCAAAAACTACCCAAGATTCAGCCGCAACTGGAAAAGTGACCCAACTCAAGGTTCTCTCTCTCTACCTCACATTGATCTACTCCAACAAAACGAGATCCAAGTCTTTAAACTAACCATGATTTTATAATCCTACTTCCTACAACTCCATACCCACAATCATGGGTTAGACCACCATCTTGCAAAAGCTCAAAAACAAGAGAGAGAGATAGAGAGAGAGAACCTAGAGAGAGAGAGAAATAAAGTGAGATGAAATGAAAGGGACCTCTGGTGTAAGAAATTGTAGAAATAGGGCTCTTCAGAGCATCAACGGCTTTATATAGAAAAAAGATTGAATTCCACCGTGAGCAGCCAGCGATTGAGGTACCGCAATATTTTTAATGGTGGGTTCATGGCCCACATTCGTGCGTTTTAGAGAGAGAGAGGTTACTTACCCAGAAAAAATGGAGAGAGAGGGGTTTGGGAAACACGTGGAGAGAGAAAAACGGAGAGAGAGTTGCGTAATAAAAGACATATCTTCTAAAATTTGTTTAGGGTAGAAAAAAAGAGTCAAAGTGTGTACAGTGGGTCTAGGGGGTTATAAGAAATAATACATGGCATCTCCATGCATCAAGATATGTTCTAAAACTTTGGGTCTAGTGAGAAATGAAACTTAAAAACTGAGGGTATGGAGATATTTTCCCATATATATATATATATATATATATCAAAGAGAGAAAATGAACTTTTTTCTAATTCCAAGATTCAATGATTGGATGAGACAAAATTCAGTGCACAATGAGAATGCGTGTCTTAAGATTAAAATGAGATAGACAATGGCAAGTAACCCTAAAACTAAAACTTGTGCACAATCCAGATATATGCAAAGCACACAACATGCATACAATATAATCCCATTTCGACCATCCTTGATCCTCCACATTGCAAAGGAAACACTTGCAAGTATTAGTTTTTAAGGAACCTAGGAGTTGCATGAAATATTACCGTAGTAATAATATAAATAACTGGACAGATAACAGAAATTTTATTTACCAAAATCTAGATTTTTGCATGGCCTTCCTCTTGAGAAGTTCCAGATCACAAACTTTGCATCTAATCCACCAGTGAGAGCTGCCACAATAATTGCAAAAAGAAAATAAACCACACTACATAGATTTTGAAAGTACTAAAATTACCAGACCATGTCATATTTACTAAAGATAGCGTCAACACAAGAACCAAAGAGACTCTACATTCCTTTCATATCAATCATATACAGTGGAAAGAAATAATGCATGTCAGAAAAGATAATAATTAAATATAGCAACATCCACAAGAAAGCAATGGCTCAAACATTTTTGAAACATAAAACCATTTAGACTTCCTTGACTCAAGCACACAATACCCCTCAAAAACTGAATAGACATATATAGAAGATTTTTGTTTTTTTTTTTCTAAGCTGAACAATAGAATTCCTTATGCTTACAAGTGGATATTATGCTTGACACATTCGACCCAAAATCTATGCTTGACACATTCAACCCATGTTATGACTAGGGGTAGCAACAGGTCAGGTATGAATCGGGTCCTACTAAACTCGGACCTGGACCCGAAACATTACTTGTGGACCCGTATCCGACGGGTGTAAAAAAACAGTACCCAGACCCAGACCCGAGAGGATACTAAGGACCGGGACCCAAACCTACATCCGAGCTTTATAGCTTTCTCTTATGGCTTTAGGTGTTTGATCGTGAACTCTCCTGCCTTTTTTATAGAGCTTACACCCCCATGACTCTATTTACTTCTTCGATGTGGGATTAATCCCACACACTCATGGAGAGAGAGGGATGGAGTTAGAGAGAAACAAGCATTATATTTATTTCCCTTTCGGCATTTTCACTATTATAGCACGTGAGCATAGGCAGTTTCAAGTCACAATTTGGCAAGTGAGCTATAATGGGAAAGTTTCTTTTTGTCCAAGAAACATGCTGTCAATGGCAGTGTATAGCCATAATGGCATTTTGTCTTTTCTCCATTGCTAGTCCTACACCTCACGAGCGTCACTTTATTGGGTGGTGGGTGAGAGGAGGTAAAGAGAGAGAAAATATTGTGGTTACTTTGTGGGTTGAAAAAAACTTTCAGTCCCACATCCAAATATTTAGAAAGATATGGTGAGAGAGTTTGTTATAAAATGAAGGGTATCTTTTTAAAGCGGTGGGGAAATTCAAGGGTCCGGGTATCCATCGGGTCAGGTATACCAATACCTATACCTGAACCCGAAAATATTCGAGTATGCACTTTTGGACCCGAACCCTAACTTGGACCCATACCCGGACCCTAGTCAGGTATACCCGTCAGGTCCTGGTCAGGTACAGGTCCATTGCCACCCATAGCTATGACAAATCCAACCCATGTTATGACACATCCAATCGATGTTATGCTTGACACATTCAACCCCAAATCTATGCTTAAGACAATCAACCCATATTATGCTTGAAACATTCAACCCAAAATCCACCTTACAATGGAAATGTCTAATTACATCGGAAAATTCTTGATAAAATTGTGTGCAAACCAAAATGTAGGGGTGGCAATAACCCGTACCCGACCCGGACCCAACAGGTATACCAGACTTGGATCCGGTTATGGGTCCAAGTTTTGGACCCGCAGGTAGGGTCCCGGTCCAAAAGTGCATACCTGAATATTTTTGGGTAGGGGTATGGCCATTGGTATACCCAACCCGACGGGTACCCGGACCCATGAACATCCCCACCTCTTTAAAAAGATACCCTTCATTTTATAGCAAACTCCCTCACCTTATCTTTCTAAATATTTCGATATGGAACTAAAAGTTTTTTTCAACCCACAAAGCAATCACAATGGTTTTTCTCTCTTTAGCCCCTCTCACCCACCACCCAATAAAGTGACACGCTTGCGGTGTAGGGCTGGCAATGGAGAAAAGACAAAATCCCATTAGCATGTTTCCTGGACAAAAAGACACTTGCCCTCATAGCTCACACGCCAAAATGCCAATGTGACTTGAAACTGCCTATGCTCACGCACTATAATAGAGAAAATGCCCATTCTCCCAAGAGAAAATGAATATAATACTTGTTTCTCTCTCTAACTCCATCCCTCTCTCTCCATGAGTGTGTAGGATCAATCTCACATCGAAGAAGTAAATAGAGTTATGGGGGTGTAAGCTCTATAAAAAGGGCAGGAGAATTCATGATCAAACACCTAAACCATAAGAGAAAGCTATAAAGCTCGGGTACGGGTTCGGATCTCGAGTCCTTAGTATCCTCTCGAATATGGGTCTAGGTATTGTTTTTTGTTTTACCTGTCAGGTATGGGTTCACAAGTAATGTTTCGAGTCCAGGTCCGGGTTCAGTAGGACCTGACCCATACCCAACCCGTTGCCACCTCTACCAGAATGGGATTCCTTTTAGTCATAACTTCACTAGATAAACAATAGAGCAAAAGGGGGACAAATGTTGCAAAAGAAGGGACACAAAAACAGAGGCTATATGATAGTATATCTTCAGCCCCAATATATCTACCACTTAAATTCACCATACACAAACTGGTTTCTTTTAGGTATTCCATAGAAATTCTGGTTGTTTATATTAAACTAATAGTGCTATTATTTGCTAAGCAACCGCCTCCGCCCTTAATGTGTGGGATATATTTGTCTCTCTCTCTCTCTCTCTCTCTCATACATACATGCATTCATATATGCATACATACATTTATCGATTATTACACATAATTTATGGGGTTTGTCTAGAGTTAACAACCCCTCAAAATACAAAAGTCAATATTAGAATGAGTTGTGATGGGTGCATTTATCAAAAAATCATTACTTTTTGTTCAAAAATTATATTTTAATGGCAACTTAATCATTAAAGATACATTGAAAATTTTCACAAAAGTACAATAGTATTTTAGAAGTTGTAGTCCTAGAACTTTATTTAGAGAAGTCAAAGGTTTAGATAAAGCCGAAGCTCTAAACAATCAAATTAGAGCCCACCTCAAAACTTTACAAGTAGAGATTGTTTTGATGCACAAATATCCTCAAATCGATCATCTCGACATCAAAATTCATGGATATGAGAAAAAAATGGATCTCAAGTTTCGGAAATAGTGCATCTTATAATGCATTTTTGGACCGTCAATTTTCAAGTTTTGAAGTTTTCATAAATCTACTCGATCTACATTATTTTTGAAGCTTTAAATTTAATAATTAAAGATGAACATATATTTCAAGGCTATCACAAAAATTTCCAATATTGAAACCACATTTCTCGAAATTATTTAAAGGTGCACTTTACTTTGATTGTTTAGAGCCTCGGCTCTATACAAACTGCACCAGTTAAGGAATACCCTAGCCCTTTAGTAATAATTTCAACTCTACCCTTATAAAGATGACAAATGCATTCCTTGTCTTTTAATGATAATTATACATACACCCTTACTTGATAAGCAATCCACCACAAAAAATAATTTTTTTAATAAAGAAACTACATAGTTAGTAAATCCACCCTTCATAACTTATTTTAATATTAACCTTTATAATTCCAAGGGTTGTGAAATGTGTGTGTGTATGTGTGTATATATATATATATGGGGTTTATCTAGATGTAACAACCTTTCAAAATACAAAGTTTAATATAAGAATGAGTTGTGAAGCGTGTATTTATCAAAAACTCATTATTTTTTTAAAACAAATTATTTTAATAGGTACATTATCACTAAGTAAAGATAATTCGACATTTTATAAAAGTAAAATAGTATTTAGGAAGTTAGTGTACTGTAACTTTATTTGTAGAATACCCTTGTCCTAGAATACCCTTATTCAGTAGTAAAAATTTCAACTTTATCCTTTAAGAAGATGACAAAAGTACCCCTATCTTTTAGTGACATTTATATATATACCTTTACTTGATGAGAAATATAACACATAAGGTAACACCTTTTAAAAAAAAATCCTCAGTTAGTAAATCCATCCTTCACAACTCATTCTAAGATTAACCTTTGTATCTTGAAGGGTTGTGAATTGATATATTTGATATATATATATATATATATATATATATATATATATATATATATACACAACAACGTCTTACTTACTTTACTTTATAAGTAATGTAGTCGTGTGGTGTACGTAGAACTACACCACACTATATAACGAGAGAGAGTAGTAGTAGT